AATACGGTGAAAACACGGATGGGTTGCTACAAAACATCAAAGTTTGGAGCCTAAAAAGCAGCTGGGAAAACACTGAAAGATCAATACAAAACACCTACACTGGGAGCCTAAAAGCCTGATGAAAAACAAGACTGGTCGCTACAAAACACCCAAGTTTGAAGCCTCAAAAGCTGCTGGAAAAACACAGATGGGTTGCTACAAAATACCCAAGTTTGAAGCCTAAAACGCTGCTTGAACAACACAGACGGGTCGCTACAAAACAACCATGTTTGGAGCCTAAAAAGCACCTGGAAAAAACACTTAAGGGTCACTACAAAACACCAGTGTCTGGAGCCTACAGAAACCACAGTAAAAACACTGAATGGTCAACACAAAACATCCACACTGGGAGCCTAAAAAGCTGGTGGAAAAACAAAGAGGTGTCACAACTAAACACCCATATTTGGAGCCTATAATAGTGCTGGTAAAACACAGACAGATTGCTACAAAACAATCACATTTGGAGCCTAAAAAGTTGTTGGAAAAAGACAGACAGGATGCTACAAAACAATCACATTTGGAGCCTAAAAAGCTGCTGGAAAAACACAGACAGATTGCTACAAATCAGCCATGATTGGAGCATATAAAGTTGTTGGAAAAAGACAGGTGGGTCACTACAAAATAATCACATTTGGAGCCTAAAGAGGTGGTGGAAAAACACACAGGTTGCTACAAAACAATCACATTAGGAGCCTAAAAAATGGTGGAAATACACAGATGGGTCACTACAAAATACCCATGATTGAAGCCTAAAAGGCTGTTGGAAAAACTCAGACAGATTGCTACAAAACACTAACATGTGGAGCCTAAAAAGCAGCTGTGAAAACACTGAAGGCTCAATACAAAACACCCAGCTGGAGAAAAAACACAGAAAAAAAACATCCATGTTTGGAGCCTAAAATGCTGTTGGGAAAACATAGACAGGTTGCGATAAAGTACCCACGTGCAATCATCCTATAAATAAAATTATCTCCACATCAACACTGAAGTGCAAGCTCTATCATGAAGACCATGTGCCATATTACTTAGACTTCACTGATGTGTGCTTACACCATATATATATATATATATATGGTGTGACCATTGCAAACAAGCTTAGTCCATCCCACTATTCTCTGAAGGGAGTGCGGGTGTGGGACAATTGATTTTTTTTTTTTTTTGCAATAGGTCGGGGAGGTGATGTGGGGGACTCGTGATTGTGCAGATAGATGATAAACAAATATTTGACAGCAGCAGCACTGGGCTCCTCTGTGCTCCTGTGGTGTGTTTGCTGTGTGAAAGGCGGTGAACTACAGGAGTTGCCTCGGCTCTTTAGTGCCCAGTTTGACGGCCTGCCTGCGTCCTCGGAGAGGAAGAGCTACTGTAATTGGTTTCTCAATGAAGGATCATCAGCGGCTCCCCGGAGGCTTGGTGGACTGTAGCGTAGCGCTGCTCTATCAGCCGTCCGCTCCCCGGCTTTAAACACCGCTTTGCGCCTTTCTCCTCAAATAAACAAGTGGGCTGTGAAGGGGATTCTCGGAGCATCATCATCATCATCATCATCACCACCACCACCGTGCGCGTATTTAGAGGGGGGGCTTGTGTCCGTTTTCACAACCTACTGGGAGTTTTATCGTTTTTTCCTGTCCGTATCGCGGAGATCCGTGGCAAAGTTTAACGCAGATTTCAACATGAGTGACCTGGAGGACGACTTTGCCAAGATCCTGCTGCTAAAGGAGGAGAGGATACGGGACTTGGAGAGGCGCCTGGCGGACAGGGAAGACGAGATTCAAGAACTGAAGAGAAAATTACACAAATGTCAGTCTGTTTTGCCCAGCGCTCAACTTATTGGACCGAGGACCCGCAGGGCGCAGGGCATCTCCGCGGAGCCTCAGACGCACCAGGACCTGTCAAGGCAGGCGTTTCGGAAATATGCCAAGTCCGACTGGTAAGTCTGTTTGAGCAGGCTTTTGTACTTTTTTCTGCTCCAATGCCTGTGTGTGCCAGATTTGAGTCCCATCTTAAAATATCTTTGAGTGTTTTTCCTCCTCACTCCCAGAAAAATGTTTTGCCACGGATGGTGTGAATCTGCCATTAGGAGGCACAACTCTCTCTGAACAGAAATACGCTTGAAATGAATGTGCATGTGCTGATAGTAACTCTACACACACTCACACCACACATGTTCCTGAGCGCTTCACTCCACAAAGCTTTTCTTTCTGTTTTCTACCTTTCCCTTTTTTTCTAAACGAGAGATGGAGACGTTTTGCCATGAATGGGCGAGCACTTTCATTCTTGGGGGCCGATGACGCAGCTCCAATGCGAGCTTCAGAAAGAGCTCCTAATTGATCAGATCCATCATGGCAGTCCCACGGGACACAGACAGGAGGAAGTGCGATGCATTATTGGCTTTTAGTAGCTGGACGCTGAGGACCCGAAGTGCATGTCTGAGGATATTTAATACTCCATTAGAAAACGCTTTGTTTGACCATATGCTTCCTTCATCACCTTTAGGTGCTCGTTTTAGCTTCAGGGTATGATTGTCCTGATTTTGAGGGTTTCAAATGAGGCCTGCATAGTGATCACTTACTATCTCATACTTAAATCACTTTCGCAGTCTATTCAGTTTGCTGTAATTACTCCCAGCAAAAAAGTTTGACCCTCTCTGTCTTCATCTTTTCATCTCCATTTCTATTATAACAATCCCATCAGGATAAACTACTTGCTAATATATTGATATCACACACACGTACACACAGGCAGAAACCACTTTGCTGACTCAATTAATGCAACAGACAATGGGGTTAATTTTATTAAGATGGCTAGACAATTTCCAGTCTTCATTTGCATTAATAAACTGCAGACTGGGCTGGTCCTCATTTGCACTCATTACCTGATGCACACTGTGCCTTCAGACAAACACACAAGTCCACAGAAAACTGTGCCCTGAGGCAAGAAATACAAATAGGAATACATGAGAATGAAGCACAGAGGTTATGAATGACTCAGGTTCATTGAGAAACAATGAAGCTGCATTCAAGACAAACAAAGACATTACAAATCTTGTAATCAGTTGTCAACCTTTCTATAGGACCAGCACTCATTCTGAAAAACATGTCCGTGCTGATGAGGCACAATAAGTGCTTGAAAGGGCCTTGAGCAAACATGGTAGTGCACTGTGTGCAGTAAAAGTGAAGTAAACCTGTTTACATTAGTGAAAAAGCACCAGCGAGATGACGCCATTGGGGTCCGCCTGCGCCACCGTGCCCACTGGGCCGCCACGGGGTCAGGCCCTGTGTGACCCCCCATTAGAGTCAGGACGTGGCACCAGCCGGCGTCCCGCCCCGCTCATCGGATTACCGCAGCATGGAGCAATGGATCCTGTTTCTATTGATCTGCATAGGAAAAGGGCTGAGCTGGATGGTTAGAGAGGTGAAATTTAAAGCGCAGAGGTGCTTTGAAGGACGGTGGGAGGGCCTTTTGATGATGGGAGGATGGAGGACGCAACACTGGATTGGAGAGACACTCAAGTCTCCAGGCACCTGCAGTTTCCTGATATGAGGGAAAAACTTTGCTGCTGCTGCTGCTGCTCAGGCTTTGTGCCCCGCGCCCTCCTTCCCTTGATAGAGATAAAAGAAAATATGATGGTTTTTAATTGGCTCAGAGGAGAAAGGCTGCCGTGCCTTTATTAGCACTTTGCATCCAGAGAGGAGCACGAGAAAACAAATATTTTTGGGGGTAAAAAATACATAAAGCAATTATTTTTATGGCTTAAACAGACAATTAACTGTGTGTTTGTTGAACAGGTGTTGCTTTATCTCATTTAAAGTCTCACAGTAAGTTTTTTTTTTAGCTCTAAGAAGTCTGAAAACAGGTTTAGCATTATTTTTGAAGCTGTTGATGCACATTTGTTTCCACTTATTGCACACGGGACTCGTGCACATGCCTGTATTTGCAATGTAACTGCTCATTACACACAGGACAAACTACCTAAGGCAGTGAAACATACAACATTGTAAGATCATTAGGTGTTGGACTTGTTTGCCTGCAGAGCAGATGCATGCCTCCTTGTTGTTGTTTGCCTTGATTCTTTATCCCACCACAAGAGGGCAGCTGCGGTCTATTATTAGACCAACTGTCCCTCTCTTTAGGGTTGTTTACAAGGGGGGAAAAAGATGCTTTTTACCACCCCACCAAACACCTTTCCTTTCAGCCAAAGAAATCTCCTTCACCCTGCTCTTTGTCCTCTGTGTCAGCCGCTGACTGCCCAGCCTCTCAGCTCAGTAATTGCTGCTTTAGCCCTCAGTAGCTCCTCATTCTATCAGATTGTCCTTGACAGTTTATCCTCCTCCGAATTTGTCCAGAGCGCATGAGGCCAAATGCTGTTCGCTGAGCTTTTCAGATGACTCATTGGGATAATGTGGACAGACACCAGCAGCGCTCAGAGTCAACACACAACACAAGATTAAATGAGGAATGTGGAGCTGCTGTGAGAGTCGTGAGCATCAGTGTCTTTGGCACATTCATGTCTGCTGCCACTGCTGCTTCACAATCTGTAAAATGATCATTTTGCATCATCTTTTAGCACCTCCAATGCTCCTCTATGGAGTCTGTCATTAAAATAACAGCTGCTGAACAGGGATTCATCTTCTCTTTAACACAGCATTTCACAACTACAGCATCATTTTGGGTTTAAATGCAGCACTGGGGCATCTCAGTTCAGTCCATGCAGACAAAATACACAAGTACTCCGTCACAAAAAGCAGCCACCGTCTCCAATAGATGACAAAAAAAGACGCGTTGTTTATTTTTATACTGAGGTTCATTAAGTTTCCATCACCTTCAACTTCCATTATGGCTCCGGTGCTCATCTATTTGTAACTCAGCCGCCTCAGGGCGATCTGCTGAGGTATGATGACATGCTTCTCCGAACAGTGGCTCCCTCGCTGAGTCCATTATTCATGTGAGACGAGTGCGGCTCTCTCTGGGGTGGCAGACTGCTGCACTGTGCCACAGATTCCTGTAGGCGCCCTCCTCGCCATGCGCTCTCACCGGGTCGCAGCCTGACGCACTCGGGGAGGACGGTCCTCCGCTGTCACACAGCCGAGGGAGGGAGCGAGAGGGAGAGACAGAGCAACAGAGAGAGAGAGGGCAAACTTTGCGTGATAGTGGCTGAGACGCTTTAACGGGCTCACCTTGGCCACCACCGAGCATACCTTCGCTTAAATTCCCAACATCCGCTTTGTGAGGGACAGCGGCGAGGATCCCCCTCAGGAGAGACGGGCTGCATCCTCTGAAGCCGTTCATGCCGGATAAAGTTTACGAGCAGCGTGGTAGAGGAGAGGGGATAAAGACGAGACTGCATACCTTTCGATAAACTTATCGGGAAGTCGCTCGTCGCCGACAGCAATGGGCACCTTGCGCGACCTCCAGTACGCGCTCCAGGAGAAGATCGAGGAGCTGCGCCAAAGAGACGCGCTCATCGACGAGCTGGAGCTGGAGCTCGACCAGAAGGACGAGCTCATACAGAGACTACAGAACGAGCTGGACAAATACCGCTCCGTGATCAAACCGGCAACCCAGCAGGTCCAAAAGCAGAATGAGCTGCACGAGCAGCAGCGGACGAAGAGGCAGGCAATCTCGGCCGAACCGACTGCCTTCGACATCCAGGATCTTAGCCATGTCACCCTACCTTTCTACCCCAAAAGCCCACAGTAGGTGTCCACGTTATAAACGCATCATATTCACTTTTGAATCACGAGAATGAGGCTTTGCACTGGCTGTTGCGCACGAGTTCATTCACCCTTTGTCACCTTTCTGATTCCTGTGCGTAATGTTATGTGTGGCGCAGCAGGTAAGGCACCTGTAGCACATATGGATGATCAGACACACATACACACCCACACCCACACACACACACACAAGGACAATGTGACATGGTGCCATCAGCTTTGAAAAAACAGGAAACTGTCATTAGTGACAGTTATCAATAGGATTATCAGAAGCCCAGTGATAAGAAGCTGAATATCAATACGCCTGATCACAGCCTAACATGTGAGAGCAAAGAAATGTCACCCAGTGATGGGAATTACAGGTTTAGAGAGCTGGCAGTGGCAGCTCTGTGCAATGTACCAGTGCCTATTTTATACAAGCTGTGATTCTGTGACAGGCAGTCTTAACAGCCTCTCTGCATGTTTACCTTATGATTTGTCTCCCCCTCGCTCTCCCTCTTCCCCTCTCACCCTCTCTCCCTCTCCTTTTCAAACATCTCTCTCTCTCGCTCAACTCGGTCTGCATCACGAGGTATGGTTCTCAAAGTGAAACTGGCACAGAAATAGCCCTCTGTTGTGAAATAATCCAGCTGTCTGTTGGGTTTGAACTTGAAGGTTGTGCTATTATGAATCAATACACTTGCCCCCCTGGTGGACAGGAAGAAAATCTACTCTTCATTCTGCAAGTGCATCGAAAAATAGACCAATTGAGGACAATCAGAATCGTTATTATTATTGCCATGTCGGTTTTCACATGCAAGGAATTTGCTTTGGTGTATTGGTGCATAACATGATGCATTTTCAGTTTCAAACCCAGCTTTGAAACATTTATCTGAATAGTCAAATCTAAAAAAAAAAGCAGAATGGAGCACTCAAATGAAAATTATCAGTACTTTTAAATCCTCTCTGTGAAATATTTCTCTCCTCTTGCTGGTACTTTCAGACTTTGCAGAGAGATGTGTCGGATATGAATGTCATTATTTTCTCGACAAGCAAACAAACAAAGCTCCAAGGATTTCATCAAAGAGGATTCAAAAATGAAGGGGATTATTTATCTGAAGCAGGGAAAGGCCATTAGTCTTTGTTATACCTGTCAGCTCCGTGCAGAGAAAGCACACTCTTTTCTCGTGTGGTGTTTTTGTTCTTTTTCTCTTGCTGTTGCCAAATGAGCGTGAAACCGTGGACTCTGGCTTGGAATGAGGGATGGCCATTTCATAGATAGTGAGCTTCTATTGTATGTGCCTGTTTCCATTGAGAGATTTCCCAATATGGGCTTTTAGGGAGATGTTGATAGGAAGTTTCTTATAATTAAAACTCCCAAATATAGACTTTGTCCTGCATTTTGACTTCTTTCTCCATGAGGAGTTTGATGTCTTGTCCATTTAAGAGTACAATCACCTGTCAAATACTACAAGCGAAGAATGAAATTGAAAGAAAATGTCATAATGGAGCTGAAAAGGCTGTTTGAACTTCTATCAGAGCCTCTAAAGTGCAGCTAAAATGTTAAGCCAAGCGTCTGCCACACCTCCTCACACTGACTGACATTCTGTTCAATTTCCCTCCTCTAATAAGCGTATACATAAACAAATTATGACTAAAACAGCAGCCCGCTGAATGCAAATGACGTGCGTGAGCCCTGTTCTCTTATTTGTTCTGCGTTATTATCAATTGTTTGGACATCTGTGTGTGAGCAACTTGCAAAAGATCTTGTTCTCCAGAGTTGGAGCAATTAATTTGAAGTTGTTCTGTTTTTGGGAAAGTCTTTAACTTTTGTTGTTGCTCAGTGGAGAGCAGCAAGGTTTTCTTTTCTCTTTTTAATAAAATACGCAAGTGCCCTCCCGGGATGACAACAGCTCCATTACATTTTCATTTTGTTTTGCTTATTGAAGTGCAGCGATAATGCCTGTTGGATTTGGCTAAATGTTTAGACTTTTCTTTCATTCTCACCCACTTTATCTTCTTTACAAGACCCATAGAGCGTTCCTTACACATACGCTATCCATCCTTCTCCCCCTGCCTGCCTCTTAGCTCCGTTAGCCTCTCCCACTTTTCTGCCACCCCTCTTCTTTTTTCCTCCTAAAAGAGCATATTTTCTCCTTTTAAGGAAGGCTGAACTTGCTCAGCCTCAAACTTCACCAGTGGATGAAGGCAAATATATCATCCTCACAAAGGAGAGGAAGGCAGATGTTTTTATAAGGGTCTGGTTGGAGGACGTTGTTCAACATTGCTATCAGAGGCTCAAGTCGGGGGGTCCAGAGCACGGTTGAGAGGACCAGAAACCTCCTGGGAGTAAAATAACAGAAAGAGGGTCAGTGAGGCAGATTCCCAGCGGACTTGAGGTCAACTTTGGAAAATAATAATTTCCAATTTGTTGTTGACAATTTAGTTAATAATATGCCAAGTTCTGGCAGCAAAAATTAAGCATCATTAGGTCAGTGCGCATCATAAGAGCCATCACAGTCCAGACTGACAATGCCTAGTAAAGGCACACCTATATTTAGCAGGGCTGGACTTTCAATTTTGGGATTCGGATGTTCTTTTTTTTTTTTCTTTTCGAGAAATGACATGATACATTTATCAACCCTGACTGCCACAATTTGATTTTCTTTTTTAATTCACTATTTAAAATGGGTTGAATCTTGTTTCATTGTAGAGCTGAATGTGTCATGAGCACTCTGCTCCACGGCATAGACAGCTTGTCAGAGTCCGCCTGCACACATACACAGTGACAGGGCTAACTGTTAGCATCACACGGCTAATGTTACCAAATGCTAATGAATAGGTTTAACTCCAGAGCTGAGCCATTTCGGTGTCTGTGTGAGGTTGTTGGGATTGTTTAATGGCTCAGTGTCGGATGTTAGCCGCTGCTGCTGTTTTAGCTCGTGCTAATCTTACAGATCTTACAGATCTTACAAATTTGTAAGGAGCTACTACGTTGTTGTGCTTCTGTTTTATGGGGCTTTGTCAGGCATTGTCTAGGCAAACTTCCACTACCCCCAACCAAAACAAAAATATTGGTATTATCTTTCATATTTATTGTGTTTATTTTGAACAAGAAAAAGTGCTCATTATAGATCAACACAAATAAAAAACTTTGCAATGAAACAAGGTGAAAAATGAACAAGGTATGTGTATATTTGCTAATGTACTGCTCCTTGGTTGGCTTTTACCCTTTCATTTTCTCTTACAGTGCTTTCAGACCTAGAGTTGTCTTGCTTTGGTCTGAATCAGGGACTAATTTTGTACCAAAGTTGCATAATTGCCTAGAGGTGGTTCGTGTTCTCACGGCAGCATTTACAAGTGGACCACATCAAATGCTTTGCGCGAGAAAGCTGCTGAGTACACTTGCAAGATAAATGTGATACTTTCTAATGTCACAATGGAGGGACAACTACGCAGGTTGATTTTAACGCTGCTCATCGTGGACTATATTGCTGTCATTGTTCACTTTAGTCAAACCATACAGTTTGAAAACGAGGCGCGTCTCCAACTAGAAAACAATGTTTTGATGCATTGGATGTGCTGAATGTGCATATTAAGGCAGTACAGGAGGAGGCGCACATTAATAATCCTCCAGGACTGTGACATGCTCATGTTTAACCCAAACAATGTGTCATGTGACTGCAGTTGGTTCAGATCGAGGTCGGAACACGTTCTCACCACAAATGAACTGCACCAGAGTTCATTTGTAACCGGACCGAGACCACCTCTTCAAGAAGGTCTCGGTCCGGTTGTTTTGGTGCGCACCTGAGTGCGAGTGCTGTGTTCACACCTGCCCAAACGAACCGCACTTAGGGGGCAAATGAACTTGAGTTGGATTGAACCGAACCAAACAGGGCAGGTGTGAAAGCACCCTTACTCTAATGCTCTCCACATACACTCCAGAAATATCCACCACTGTTTGGATCCTAATAAGATGAGCATTTATGTAGGACTATTATTTATTCATGATAAGAAAACACAGCATACTTTTTGGGAAAAGTTCTTAATTAACAACCCCTCCCAGCTAAAGTAAGAACATTCACTGTTGATTACTACCGAAGCCCCAGAGCCCTAAAACTTCATTTGGGAAGTCCCTATTGTTAATGCGAAATCCCTGTAACCCAATGACAGCTGTCAACATTAAGTCTAAATCATATTTTCCTCTGTGTGCAGTCTCTGCCGGAAAAAAAGAAGGTTTTAGAAGAACATAGATTGCGGGACATGAATGTAAAAGTAAGTGCAACACCTGCAGTCTTCTCTACTCCATTACCAGGAGTGCCTTGTTCAGACTCTCAAGGACGTAATAAAAATATCTAACAAGAAATCTTTGGATCATCCCGGCTGCTGCTCTGTCAAATAAATTAAAATCCTGGTGCTTTGGATGCTTGTTACCCCACTGACACTTTCATCTGTCTCTGACCTGTAAACAAGGGTAAATGCTGAAGAGGCATGTCCACGAATGACACAGAGGTCTTGGATAGTGACGCTGCCGAAGGGAGATACTATGAAAATCTGAGTTTTGTACAGTGTGTGGAGAAATACATGGCAAATACTCAATATTCAATATAATATTCTGACCTGTCCCTGAGATTAGTATGTTAATTCAGTTTGTATAAATAGCTTAAGTAAGTAATCAGTGTACTCCCAACAGATTGTGACGACGAGCTAATGTTGGTCTTTAGTCATTTAGCTGCTCACTTTCATCCACAAGTATCACTGCTGTGAGAGATTAAAAGCACAGCTGTTTGGGGATCCACAAGCCTTGAAACCCAAATTGAAAATTCACCAGACTGTTGATTGCTAAACACGCATTAGGAGAACCTTGTTTTTTTAATATCTCAGCATGCTATTTTAAGACTAAAACCAAAACTCATCACTCAGCCAGTGGAGTAAAAATGACGATCTGTAGATGCCGGCCAAGGTTGGGAATTTATGTGCCAGCTATGATAGCTGCTTCTTAGTGCATCTCTGAGTGTTTTTCATCTGAAGGAGCAACAGTGTTCCTTCACTGACTTGATAATGTGTCTCAAGATTTAATGGAGATGCATTCGTGTGACCTTAAAAGTTCAATATAAGCCCTTGAGGAGGAGTAAGACACTGACTATAAAACATCACCTCACATACGGATGAATGTGCAGAGGGGTTTGTTCTTCTCAAAACACAGGCATGCTTGTGCATTGTGCTCGATACATAAATAAAACAAAACCCTGGGCACTGCTGACACTGCTGTATCATGGCAGACATTGAAGTTTCAGAGTGTAAAGTTTGTGTAGCTGTGTGGTTGGTGCTGTGGGCAGAGAAGCATGTGTGTTGTGGGAGCACCGACTCATAAATGCCTTCCAGGTTATTTGCCCTTTTAGCTTTAAGCTCCTCAGGTGATCAGCCTCAACAATGCACCCAGAAATCCGTTTCTGAAAAGGGCACAGAGCGCATAGAGGCAAAAGGCAGCTCTTCACTGCCTTTAAATCCTTCTAGCAGAGGATAGAGAGTGCTTTAAGGGTATAAAAGTTGGGCTTCTCAGGAGGGGACTCCTTGTTGGATTAACCCTGATACATAATATTAACCTCATTCGTCCAGCTGACATTCTGTCAAAACCGGCCACGCAGCTCTCGGCCAAGAATCTCTGACTCTGGTGATGACACGCTTCAGTAAAGGACTGATCTTAACTCACTGCTAACGTCTTGCCTCAGATTTCTCTCCTGTCTCTTGACACTTCTTAAACTCTGGCTTTGACGTTTTCAGTATCACTGCGCTTGGCTCCAGGGTTCACACACATTTTTACCAATGAATTCTCTAAACGTCTCCATAACATTTTACCCTGTTTATTTTATTCAAGTAGTTTAAAATGTGTAACTTTGAAAATAACATGCACCATTTGGTTTATTTGTTCTCTCTCAGCACTGCCGCCTTGGCCGTAGTCCCAGATCCATTCATAAGAAATCCAACATCGACTGCTACAACAATTTTGTTTTTATGACGGTTTAAATATGAGGAAATAGTTTATGTTATGATGTAATTTGAGCTGACTTTCCCCTTCATGTTCTCAAAAACCGTACAGCAAAATAATGTAATACTTGACATGGTTATAGTCAGGGTATTCCTGAACAGGATTACATTGAAAGTTTCAGCACACCTCTTAGGGTAGATGGTAAATGGACTGCACTTGTATAGCGCCTTTCTAGACTTCCGACCACTCAAAGCGCATTCACCCATTCACACACACACACACATTTAAACACTGGTGGCCGAGGCTACCATACAAGGTGCCAGTAACCATTCACATGCTCTCACACACTGATGTAACAGCCATCGAGAGCAATTTGGAGGTCAGAATCATGCCCAAGGATACTTCGACATGTAGACTGGAGGAGCCGGTGATGGAACTGGCTCTACCTCTGAGCTGCTTAAGGAAAACATAAATTAATCCGATTTATGAAAGATTAGGAATAAGGACATTTTTTAGTGTGCTTGAATGTCATTTGAGCCCGTACAGTAATGAGTAGTTAGACTAGCTACTTCAAATGGTATATGGTCATAGGAATATTTTCAGCAGAAATCCTGTTGCACTCCTAAACAAACCCATTACGGAGACGTTTTTTTATTCTGACATCACATATTCAACAAGACTTTTTTAATATATGCTGTTTAAAGAAAGTTGTTTTTATATGGTATATAAAATGTGAGAAAAAAAATGCTAAACATGAGTCTTTCCTCGTCCTTCTTGGCCACTCCAAGCTGCGGTTTTAGCAGTTCTAAATTTGTTTTTCAGTACGTGAAAAGTTAGCAGCCCTGCATAACACATTCTCTCTAACAAGTTACGTGCACCGGTGCATGTAGAGCTGAGAGTTACAGCTCAAATTTTAAGTGCGCTACCTTGTATATTCATTCATTCATTTCATTTTCCATAACTGCTTATCCTGTTGGGGGTCATGGGGGAACTGGAGCCTATCCCAGCTGACACCCTGGACAGGTCGCCAGACTATCACAGGGCTGACACATAGAGATAGCTGTCAGGGTAATTTGATGTGCTTGGATTAGTGTTGACAACTTTGTATGCATTTGTTTCTTGTTAAAGAAACGTCTGCATTAAGGACATGTCTAATAATTGTTTGGTGACCTTGCCTGAACCTGAGCATCCATGATACCTTGATAAATTAAGGTTGATTGCCGTCATGTCCCTTCAGTCTTCCACTGTCCGAGTGGATCTATGACCAAACACACTGGACAGAATGTTGCGGTATGTACATGTATAGATTTTGATTGACTCAACTACAGCCATGACACGATACTGGTCTGTTCTATGTGTATCATGTAATACCAGTGATGTTTCAGTGTTCACATAGCGCAGCAGTATATTTTAAATTAGTAATACTAGGAATGTATTTCACGTGACGTTGGACATGTTTTGGGGTTTTTATGAACATATTTTAAACAAAAGCCACAAAAATGTATATTCAAAACTTTTCCAAAACAGTCTGTTAATCTTTTCCAGGAATTTGATGACCGTGTGCAGCGTGTGGCTCTAATTAACTTGTTGTCAACACGTGGGCGTCTCTCATGATCAAATGTCTCTCCTCCATCAGTGTTACATAAATAGCACCTATATGTGTATTCCTTAAACTAAATGATGACTCGACGTAATGTCCCCCCTTAAGCCCGCCGGACAAAGTGCTCTGTGCGCTGAGCTGCACCTTGACGACTGCACATTAGCTTTACAGTTAATTACGTTCCCTCCCGTCCTTGCATAGTCACTGCACTGTGGAATGGCCTAATGGGTGCACAGTCTGAAGGCCTGCTTGGCTTTCAGAAGCGCAACCCTGAGTGGAAACAATCTGCCTCCATTACGCATGGATTTTGCTATTTATTGACTTGTTCCAGCATTTGGAGGGAACAAATCGGTTTCACCTTGATGTCTTTGAAACGAGGACATGTTTTTTTTTTAAAAAAAGCTGCTGTGCAGTTTGAGTGTGATTTAATTAATTGCCTAAGAAATAATCAGCCTGCCTGTTGAACTGGTCAACATCCTTCACTGGGTTTAAGAAACTATTTGAATCTCAGCCAAGGTTGTTGCTCGAGGCTTGTCTTTATATACTGTCAAAACCTGACTTGTACGCATTTCTCCTTTTAAATATCTAATTATGTCTTTCTTCTAAGAAAAAACGCCATGTGAATTTGTGCATTTAAAGTGATGGTGTCATTTTGTTTCACCTCGTCTCCAGGTCCAAGGATCTGATCAAGGAGGCCATCTTGGACAATGACTTCATGAAGAACCTGGAGCTGTCGCAGATCCAAGAGATCGTAGACTGCATGTACCCTGTGGAGTATGGAAAGGACAGCTGTATCATTAAGGAGGGCGACGTGGGCTCACTGGTCTACGTCATGGAAGGTAAAAGCATGTAACAGAAGTAAAATATCAGCGATGGGATGAAAACCACAAACAGAATGAGTTTAAACCTGAACAAGATATAATTACCCTTTTTAAATGGATTGAAGTTGAGCTGTGCGGCTGTGTCTGACGAGCTTTAAGAGCTCCGGCACGACAATGATAGAAAATAAATGAAAGGGCATTATTGATGGGTTTCTGCAGAGCGATGAGCTAAAATTCAAAACTACACTTTGTGATGCTGTATGATTCACTCATGTCCCATTGATTTTTTTTTCGTGTGATGCTGTGTGCCCGCTGAGTCCGTTCTCTCTCATTCTGTTTTGGCCATATTGTTTCAGCGTCGCTTTTTTTTTTCCCTCTCTAAAATGAGCGTCGATGAGTGTGAGAGCTTCTCATGACAGTAACAACAGCACAACGTCCACTCTGGCGCTGATGGGATTTGTGAAAGGGTATTTTTGCTACATGATTTGTCACAACAGATACTGCTATGAAGTGTTCAGAGAGCCATCGTCCCTGACAATAAGTTTGACTGCGGGGAAAATAGCCTCAGTTAATGCCGGCGCAGTGTAATTGACCATTATATAGAGGTGAACTTCACAGGCGTAATACAGATTCAAATATTGAAATACAGAACATATAAGTTACTATTAATGCTCGCTTTCCCATTGAAACCTCAATAACTTGAACTTGGCTCACACATACAGTTGCATCAGTGTAACTGATCATAGATGTAGATTTTTAGGGGTACACAGGGGACACATGCCCCTAAATATAGAACATGTGCATTTGTCCCCCCCAATAAAAACATAAAAGTAGCAGAAGGCTTTTATTGTGACAAAATTAAAGACATTTGCGCCATGAATTGATGCAAAAAAATGCACAGATTGATGCTACATGTTTGAGGCTGAGGACTCTCAAACCCCCATTTTATATGTGTCTAGGGCTGGGTGATATAACGACTGTGTATGATATGTCGACATATTTTCAAGCAAGTTCTCCAGCAACACTTTTTAGAGCAGTAGCCTAACGTGCACCTCCCCAGAAATTTAACTACGCGTCGTAGCGACGCAGACCTCCTGTCTATTTTTGCAAGTTGAAACCATTTCCCTCAGTGGAAACTAAGCTTTTATTTACTTCAATTTCACAGATAAGAAACAATAAATTGTGAAGACAATAAATTCTTGTGTGTGATTTATCCTGGCTTCATATGAGCAGAGGAAATCTCCGCTATTTGCTAGGCTAATTTTTACGATATAAAATGCCATAGGCTGGCAATAATAACGTTAGCATGTTGTACACGTTTGGAAAACATGTTTAGTATCAGACAGTTGTTTTGTCGGTGAACCTTGTGAGTTGTAATGGAGCCGAATTTTGTAACGTTACCTTTGTTAAATGTTGCTGTTGTCCCTGGCTTCATATGAGTAAAGGATAAGTCTGCTAGCTGCTAGGCTAATTTAGACAATGTAAAATGCCATAGGCTTGTGCTAAAAACATTAGCATGTTGTATTTGTGGGGAAAATGTGTCCAGATAAAGACAAGTGCTTTGTCTGTGAATGCTGCGAGTTATAGTGAAGCTGATTTGTGTACTGTGTTTGAAACTGTCACTGTTGAGCCATGTTTAATGTGTGTTTTGAATCAACTGAACTTCACAGCACTTCACAGAAACCCTACCGCTGACTAGTGTTTTAGAGGTGTCACTGTTGTGCAGCTGCATATTTTCAAACAGGGGAGTGAAATCCCTGTCTTTGCATTTTATTTTGATCACAGTCTGTTTTTATAAAACTGCTAATGGCATCTCAAATGTGGGTTTGGCTTGCGACTGAAAACATGTAGCCCATTTCATAGAAAATACCGAGATATGTATCGTTTATCACCAGTCAGCCTGTAAATGCTGAGATATAAATTTTTGTCTCTATTGCCCAGCCCTATATGTGTCCCCCCCAGTGCTAAATGAAACCTATGCCCAATGTGGATTCCAAATGTTTCAAGGTGGAAATACTTTCTTCAAATTCTAAACAAGATGGCTACAACAAGAGAAAGAAAGAGAGCAAAGAAACCTGCTGTAATCTTTAATCTCTTTGGTTGGTACACACAGTGGCATTTAAAGGTTAATATTTTACAAGGAAGAATGGTGATATTGATTGTTTCACATCTGCCACCTCCTTTTATTATCAGGTTGGAAAGACAATTCCTGGATGCCCTATTCGGCCATACGTCGTTAAGAATAGATCTGTGGGAAAGTTGGACCAAAATGACATAAAGCAGTTATACTAAACTTAGACTTTTTTTTTTTTAGTTTAATTCTCCCACAAATCTATATTTCTATAAAAACATACTCTGCACTTGGCTCTCTTGGAATAGAGGCAGGTAGGATTTATCATATTTGAATGGGCTCCCGAGACAGACAGCGTCTGTGTTTGGATGCCAGCAGATGTGTTATGGCTGCTTTCTGTATTCATCTGGTCTTTAGTGACTCACTGGGTCTGAATTCAAAAACCCTTTGTGGTGCGTCGAAGAACTGTGACTTTAGAGGTTATTGTATTAGGGAGATGACTTAATCATATTGATCAGTGAACCAGCGGAGATCTTTGACTGTGTTTTGTCAACTATGACTTAGACGAATACTGCCATCTTTGAGAAATAGATAAGTGTAATTATATATAGTACAATACAACAAAAGCGCTGGAAGTTTTCAGATCCTTTACTTCAGTAAGAGTACTAATACCACACAGTGAAAAGTAAAAGTCCTGCAGTACCCTGTCAGTGTTTTACTACTATATATGATGTTTTTGAATTAATATTATTGCTGCATTCATGTGTATGTTGCGTTTCCCTGCGGTAGATGTTAAAGGTTAAGCTAATTTTAACTACTTTATATGCTGTTGGGTGGTTTAATCTACTGCAGTGCATCATATTCTGTGAGATCACTGTGAGTTGCTGTCTTGTGAGAACCACTTATCTCTAAATTCAACTTTTCATAGTGTCAGAAAAACAGACCTGCTTCCAGCTTTGTGATGATGCATTTTCCAGCTGATCCAAGAGGGCTTTTTAATAATTTATTTTGCTTAAAAAGGAGGAGAGTTTTCTCTTCAGATAAAGGAACACGTCATAGGTCAGTTTATTTTAAGCCCAGTTCAGACCACAGATTTGTGACAAGACCAGGTGAAACACGCAACTACTTGCAATGCGCTGTTCTGCAATGTTCTAAAAACCTGCCGGTTCACACCGACGCAACTAGATGAGACAGTGTATCATCTCAGTGCAACGGCTCTCTGACCTGGTCGAGCTCAGACAGGCCAGTTGTGGCGAATCATTCAACACCAACACATCTGGAGGTACATGGGCTTCACTGGACAGGGTGGTAATTTAAAAAGAAACTAAAGCTGTCAAATAAATGTAGCAGAGTAAAAAGGACAGTATTTACCTCTGAGATGTAGTATGGAGTAGAAATATAAAGTAACATGAAATGAAAATACTAGCAAAGTACAAGTACCTCGAGTACAGCACGGTAATATCACATTCCACCACTGAAATAAAGTATAAATGTATTTCTATAACAATAAAAAACTGAACATTTTAGTCACTCATGCCGTGGTTTAAGGGGTGGTAATGCAGGTTGGTTCACTACTTTAATCCAGACGAAAAAATCTCAACAAATATTGAATGGAATTAGCATAAAAATGTGTAAAATCATGGAGCCCAGAGGATGAATCCCACTGACTTTATCACCAAGTACCCGCTAAACTTTTTACATTCCCATCAGCCTCAGCTGTACTTTACATTTTGTGCTAATTAGCAGATGTTAGCATGCTAATACACTTAACACTAAAGGTGAACATGGTAGACATTGCAGCTGTCAAACAACAGGTTAGCAACTGTAATTGTGAGCATGTTAGCAGGCTGATGTTTCATTTCGCTCTTAAATCATCTAATAGTCACAGGGGCCATTTTCCCGCAGATGTAAGTACATTTTGCTGATCATTCTTCTGTACTTTTGCTGTGGGTGTGTTTCCATCCCTGTCATTTTATGCACATTTTCAGTTAGTGCATTAAAATACCTGACTAAAATCTTAAAAGACAGCTGTTAAGTTTTTACCATTGCGGGAGGTGGAAAACTTGGTGTATCGATAACAGAAAAATACAACTGGACTTTTAACATGCTCATATTTGCACACAGGGCTGTTACCAGAACTCTTCCAAGGGCACATAGCTCTAATAACAGTTGTTAAAACTTTATTTCCATTTTCCGGTGTGCTCTGTTGTACATCCATTGTTTGTCTTCAATTGAGGTTTGACTGGCGCTCTTTTAGTTACGTCATCTTGTTGCGCCTCCTCCTACAGGCTTCTGACTTGAGAGTTGGCACTATCTACTTCTTATCTTGATGAACCAACTCCAACAGTAATGGAGGGAGGAAAGCACATATATTCATATTTCCTTTTGCCGATTATCTGAAAATTCCATTAAAATTCACACTACATTTAGAAACCCAACTAGTGTGGTATTAGTACTTTTACATCAAGGACCAGAGGGCTTCCATTTACAGCCTTGTTGTAAGAATGACATCATGTGTCGCCCTTATCTGTAAACTGCAGAGAGGAGTCAGATATGTAAAGAGTCTAACATGTATCTGGCATTATGCAAATGAAATGCAAAACACAACCAAAGCCTGTACAACAGTCACCTGAGAGGACATTTTGGGAATTGGGGAAGTACTGGGCACTGTAACAAAATCAGGGATTAGATGTGTTTGGATGTGTTAGAGGTGCTTGATTATGGCAAAAATCATAATCCGGATTATTTTGGTTAATATTGAGATCACAATTATTTAACACTCACTGACTCTGGAGACATCAGGCATTTATTGAACTTTAAAAAAAAAACTTTTCAAAGTGCATTTTCCTGCTGAAAAACAGGCTCGAGGTGAACTAAACATGCCACAGCCTGGCTGAGAGTGCGTTAAAGAATGGGAAAGCATAGCATTGCAATATTTTGCACTGCA